ACAAGCGTGCTCAAGGCCATTTTTTGGAAGGAGCTAGAGACTCAGTTTGGTTTGCTTGAAACTTGCTGCTGAGCAAACGCTCGTCGAGTCAGAGACTTTGATGGAAACCAGGTAGTTGTGACCTGGGTGCTGGTGGCTCTGGTTTGTGGGTTTGGTTTGCTGGCTCACACCACGGTATCTGAGCCAGTTGTGCCACTTGAGCTGTCAGGACAGTTGAGGACGACTGTAAGGGGCGCTCCCGTAAGTGCTGCTCTCCTGGCGTGCACTCCCAGGCACAGAGCTCGTTCCGCGGCAGTGTGCCGCACACAGGGTGATGGAACAGACGAGAGGAAACGGCACCTTCTCAAGTTGCACCAGGGGAGGTTTAAGCTTGGATATTAGGAAAAATTCCTTCACCAAAAGGGTTATCAAGTGCTGGAACAGGCTGCCCTGGGAAGTGGTGGAGTCACCATCCCTAGGGGTATTTAAAAGACGTGTAAATGTGGCACTTAGGGACATGGTTTAGTGGTGGACTTGGCAGTGTTAGATTTGCAGTTGGACTCACTTTTCCAACCTAAATGATTCTATGATTCTGTGTGCAGCTCAGGCAGGCTGTCGAGAGGTTTCCCCCAGCAAAGATGCTCGCCCTTGCTGCCTTCTCGCAGCTGGACCATGCTCTGTAAGGTGGTCATCGCAGGCTAATGGCTATGTGGGGATGTGATGTGTGTTAGGGGACATGGTTCCTCCTGCAGGCTTCAACGGGAGGGGGAACAAATCCGCGGAGAGGCCTCGGTGTCACACATACTTTTCCCTCTGGTGCCTCTGGAAGTTCCTTTGTATATGAAACCATTAAGGGTCTGGTTTTACCTCATGTGTAACTCTTCTGATAAAAACCACATGTGACTTTTTTTTCTTGTTGCTGTCTGTGAGAGGAAAAGAGGCCTGTCTGGCCTTGAGTTAATGCTTTTCCCTTCTCAAAGGGCCCTCTCCAGAACAAAACTGGAGACCTGGTTACCTAGGACATGGAGAAGGGCCATAATATTCTGTAATATTCTGAGCAGGTCCAGAAGAGGGCCATGAAAATGCTCAGGGGGATGGAACACCTCTCCTATGAAGAAAGGCTGAGAGGGTTGGGGTTGTTCAGCCTAGAGAAGAGAAGGCTTCGGGGACACCTTATTGCAGCCTGTCAGTACTTAAAGGGGGCTTATAAAAAAGATGGCAGCAAACTTTTTAGCAGGGCCTGTTGTGACAGGACAAGGGGGAATGGCTTTAAACTAAAGGGGGGTAGATGTAGACTAGATATAAGGAAGAGATTTTTTACGCTGAGGGTGGTGAAGCACTGGCACAGGTTGCCCCGAGAGGTGGTGGATGCCCCATCCCTGGAAACATTCAAGGTCAGGTTGGACGGGGCTCTGAGCAACCTGATCTAGTTGAAGATGTCCCTGCCCACGGCAGGGGGGTTGGACTAGATGACCTTTAAAGGTCCCTTCCAACCCAAACTATTCTATTATTCAAATCCTGTTTTTTCTAAGGTTCTCACGAAAACACATTGGGTTTAGGACAAAAAAGGCGAGGCTAGACAAAGCTCAAACAGGGGTGCAGCGCTCCCTTGCTGCGTGGGGCAACAGCATCACTGCTGGACAGCAAGATCATGGGCAGCAGGATCGCTGCCAGCAGTGGATGCTCTGCCCCAGGGTGGTTTGACCATGCAAGAGAGGGCAGTGCACAAGAGCGCTCTGCTAAAGCAAAACCTCGTTATCTGGCTCCCCTCCTCTTTTTTCTCTGCCCTTCCTACAATAGCAAACTGCAGAGGTTGTGTAACTTGCTCTGGGCCGTGAACCTCTCGATAAGAGGTTTACGGAAAACCTGCCTATGGTTTATTTTCATTTCTGGGCCTTACTGGAAATGAAGTCAAATGCCAACTTCAAAGGGCATTTGAACGCTCAGTGTTCGTCAGTACTCGATACCGCCTCCCTGCCTGCCTCGTCTCCTCCAGCTCCCGCCTCAGGACTGCAGCACTGACTGCTGTGTCTGTTCAGAGGTTTTACGAACAAGTGCACGGGCAGGAGAGGCACTTTCCTATACATGTGCACAGCACTGGGATGTCTCCTGCCTGTGACATGCAATGTAAAGCAGACCTGGCTGTGTGTTGCCCCCCCCCCCAGTGCTTTATGCCATAGTGTGTAGCCTGTGCTTCCCTGGAGCACAGCGCACCTCCCCAGGTGCTCTGGAGAGCATCTCCAGCTCTTGGGTCTCAGGCAAGGGTTTCTTGGAGCTGTTTTGCCATATTGTGTCCACCATGGAAGTGACAGTAGTGTAACGTTCTTCCTGCCAACACGGCCTGGAGCAGAAAGAGTCAGAAACAGAAGCCTGTATTTTTCATTGGAGATGCATTGCTTTAAAGCTCAGCAGTAGTCGGGACCATCTGTGCTCCTCAGTTCCTCCTGCTAACCAAAAATCCCAGGCTGAGGAACATGAGAACTGCCTTGCAGCAGTAGTGAGCCGGAAGAGGCTGTGGGCTGTGGCAGAGCCAGAACTCCTGCTTGGATAAAAACTAAGTGTTTGAGTAACTGGGAGCAAGAATCTGACCGTGAAGCTGGCTCATTTCACCCTGCTGCCTCCGAATGCTTGTGAACTGCTCAGTCAGCACCATGCTCTGGAGTTGGTGGCGTGCCTTGGCTGTGCCTCAGGACAGCGGAGCACGCATGTTTCTTTGAACCTCTTTGATCCTTTCTTTTCAGTGTATTCACAGAGCAAATCTCCCTGTTACCTTTCCTTTGGCTTTTGTGACTGGCTGCTACAGTAGTGCTGTCTTCTTCCTCACCTTCCTACTGACTTTGGAGAGCAGAAGAGGATTGCCTCACTGCATGGCCCTTAACTCTGTTTTCCTGTCTCTTTGCTGGAGAATCCCCAGCAGTTTCAGCAGGTCTGATGCTAACATTCAAGTTTTGCTTTCCGTGTTCGATGCACTAGTGTTCTTGCTCCTGACAGCTACGGGGACTGTCCTCTCGCTCTTGTGTGCCCAGCTGAAAAGGAACCATGTTGCCGAGGGCCAAAAAACTCTTGCGTTTTTCTGAAAGTGCCTGGGCTCCAGTTTCTGCTCGAGGGAGCAGAAGGAGCAATTTTCAGCCAGTCTGATTTCCTGAACCGGTGCACCCCGGGGTCAGGTAGTGCCAAGGCTGGTGTGCAGCAGGGGTGGCTGCACGGTGCTGTGCCCTTTGGGCCATCACACCTTCAGGCAGGGGCTGAGCAAGGAACCCCTTCTGGCAATTGATCCCCACACATCATGTCTGGGAGCCTTTCAGGAGGAGGATGTGACCCCACAAAATCCCCAGCCTGCAGATGTTTTTCCAAAGTGAGCATTCAAGCTACCGCTCTTCCTAGTAGCACGGGTTTGCAAACTTTAATGAATCCCTGGTAAGGCATTTGTTTAGCTCAAAAAAGAAAAAACCCAAACCATCAGGAAATGCCCCATTAATGCACTGGAGATAGAATCAGGCTGGAAAACTCCAGGCTGGACTGTAACAGCACAGCCTGTGATGTAAAACCCATGTGTTCAGCAGGCCAGAAGCCAGGAGCCCCAGGCTCTAATCCCAGTGCTGAGCTCCCCAGCTCGGCTAATAAAACTACAGGAAGGGGGGGGAAGGCTTTGTTTAAATTTCCCCATGTTTTCCTGGGCAGGCTCATTTTACTGTATGCATTAACAGTTTAAGGGTCACTAGGTTACTTGGGGCTTCCATGTGAAATGTCTTCTCGAACCTGTGACAGCCCCAGCCTTTCTGGGTCTCCCAGTTTGGCTGCAGCCGCGGCACAATACCCTGACGCTGCCTGCATGGCTGCAGAGCTGGGAGCAACACCGAGCGACTGGCTAGCAACAGGGAAAGCTCTGGGGGAAGGCACTGTAACGCACACAAGGCAGCGTGCATGTAAGAAGCCTCTGGAAGTGCAAGCGCTCATGTGCACCTCCTCGGCTCCAAAACACCACGTTTCAAAATAGCAGTGTGTGTATGTGATGCAAGTCGCCCTTATTCTCAGTTATTCACAAGAGTGTCGCAGCTTTTCCAGCCTTGACTCTTCTCCATACCTACCTCCTGTAAGGAACGGGGATGTACCAGTTACTGGAAGGTGTGTGCGTTTCCAGAAAGGCCATCAGCTACAGCATGCACAGAAAAAAGGGGCTGGGTTGTTTTTGGTGGAGTTTGTTTGGTTTTTGTGTTGGTTTTTTTCCTGCTGTGATTAAGAAAAGCTCTTGCTCAACAAGAAGGCATTTGTTAGAGATATGCCTGTCCTTCATTAGTGGATAAAACCAGTTTAAAGCTCTTTCGGGGCTGATAATAGTAAGAAAGACCTTTGGACACATAAGAGAAAGAAAAGCTGATCTCTCAGAGAACTAAGGAGTAGGTTCAAAACTGGAATACATTTCTGGAGCCAGTTACTAGGAAGAAACCGGGAGTTTTGCCTCAGGAGCAGGGAACTGGAACGCCAGCTATGGACACAGATTCAGCGCTGGGCTATTTTTGGCTTGTGAACTGTTCTAATGGCTGTTTATTTTTAAGGTCATTTTCTGTTTGCATAGCATGTACACCCTTCTGGTGGGTGGGAGGCATTATAAAAACAATCACTGCTGCACAGAGTTATGAACTAACCTTGGAGAGGGATGGAAAAAACAGAACTCAGTGTACTTATTGCTTTAAAACCCAAAACCATCTGCTTAGGTCATAAGGTTTGTTGAGCCACTCTAAGCTGTGCCCCCACCGGAAAAATACCGTTTCAATTAATACAGACTACTGCAGGGGATTGCAAAAGACTTGGGAAAACTCAGTCGGATGATAACACGGTATAAACAGAAAGGAAGTATCAGATTTGGCAATTTTTTTTTCACTTGTGCTTACCTTCAAGCAGTAAATAGAAACCCAGGGCATTCACCCCACGGCTGAGGAGTCAGAACTCATGCTGGCCAGCCGGGCCTGAATCCCAGCTCTTGTTTAAGACTCTTGTTAAATAACAACACGCTTTATTGTCATATTTTCCTGGCTTCTTCCTGTTGGCCATATTTTTATTCACACACAGTCAAGTGATACAAATTCATTGGAACAGTGGCAGTTTACAAAAGACAGTAAGAATGATTACTTTGAACTGAAATTTAAAAAACCCTAAGTCTGGCTATCTGGCAGGCAATGCACTGTTTGGAACAGGTCATGGTAAGGAAACGGTTTATAACATTGGCAGTGTACTCCCAGCCATGTTCCTTTTCAAGAGCATAAGATACACAATACAAAAATATACTAAAAGTAATAACGGCGTTTGTAGAAATGTCTGCTGCAAAACTATTGCTGTTGTCTGATTTTCAGTATATTTACTCCCACGCTATATTATGATAGAATACTTGAATAAACATGGTTTATTTCTAACTTAATTTGAACTTTAAAGTTGATCTCAAGTTAACTGTAAAGTCTTGGGCTCCAATCCTGGAAGTACATAAAGGAACTTAACTTTGGACTCGTGAGACTGATTGATAGACATGAGGTGAGCCCACAAGTCAGTATTCAATGCCTTGGGCTCCTGCTCGGGAGGGAAGTGGAAGTTGAAGTGCTGTACTTCATAGGATCTTAATTTGGGGCACTGTCCTGCACTTTTCAAGACTTTTAACAAGTCTTCCCTGGGCTATCCTTTTACCTCATAGGCTTGAGTTCATCAGGTTGCTGGTAATGGGGTGGAACTGCCTGTTTTTGAGATCTGGGGCTCTGCAGTTAGTTAACTGCAGTTAGTTAACTGCAGTAAGTCTCTCCCTCCTTATCTCACTCCTCTGTATAATTTTACCTGTCCCTTTCCCCTCTCCTTCCTCCCTCCTGGCCCGGTACCACCAAAATGGCCTCTTTCCATGCGAGAGAACTGGATGCTCCAGCGCTTTGCTAAGGCTGCTCACGCCAAGCCTCATATGAGCTGCCTGCAGTCGGAACATCATTTCCTTAGTGTTTCCAAAGTTGAGAGACCTGGGTGTAGAAACGGAAACCCGTGCTGACCTTACCGTGCAGGGATGAGTGGCTATCCCCTCCGGCTGGCATGCTTGCAATGAGAATCTCTGACGTAGATGCAATGCTCATGGAAAACGGCATCCGGAGTGCCCCTCGCCATGACAGAGGAATGCACCACTAGCAGGCAAGCATGTTTAACGCCAGGATTTCTTGCTCCTTTTTCTCCCAAGAGCCGATCTCAAAGCATTTGAGAAAAGAAGTTAGTATTGCTCTGTTTTTGCAGACGGGAAGACTAAGGCATCGAAGGGTGAGCTCATTTGGCCAAGGCTGATCCGCAGGTCTCTGCCCCAGTCCGTGCTCTTCACTGAGCTGTTGCTCTCTGTGCTCTCATCGTATGAGACATTCTCAGAGGGGTAACACCATCTCTGCTCCCCACGCAGACGCCACACACAGGGGCCAAGATCCACCTTCCTAGGCACGGCCTCCAGAGAAAACATCAAGAGGACATGCATTGGAGGCCAGAAATTGGCTTCCCAATGTCTAAATGCCACCGACTCCCAAGGAGGTCAGCTATGGAAAGATGACCAGGATACTTCTGAGGTATAAAACTCTGTGTCTGCTGGCCACTGGTCAGCTTTGTCGTCGTCAGACTTGTCGCTGTCATCGCCGCTGGAGGGTTCGTAGCCTGGGATGGCAGAGCGTATCGGCTCCGGCTGTCTGCAATCTGCCTCCACCTCCTTCTTCTTTTCTGCCAGCAGCTGCCTGTAGCACAGGTTGCAGACCCTCAGGGGCTTGGGGGACAGCCGGGGCATCAGGAACCTCTGCCTGGAGCAGTCTGCGCAGACGACAAAGCCGCACTTGCGGCAGTGGTGCCTTCGGGTGAGCGTGGAGAACTTGGTCTGCGTGCAGCGCATGCAGATGTCTGTCGCCTTGTCTGGGATCCAGGGGGCCGCATGCTCCGTGGAGGGCTGCCGGCCCGTCTTTGTCAGCAGGTGCCTGATGCACTCCTCCAGATGGCTGATCCACTCCTTCCTCTCCGTGAGGGAGGCCGCGGAAACCACAAAGGACTTCTTGGAGGTTTTAATCATCCAGCGGTTCTTCATCTGCAAGGTGTCTGGCAGCGTCTCCAAAGTGACATCTTCAAGGGGAATGATGTGCTGGGAATTGTACTTCCTTTTGTTGATGACTATGCTGCCGTAGACGAGGATGTCGTTGAAAAGGAAGAATATGCGAGGCTTTGGTTTCTTGCGGCATTCTTTGGTTAAAATCCCTTCTCCTAGAAGGACCCTTCCCGGCACGGCTAAGGGCTGTCCAGAAGCCCCAAAGCAGTTTTCCACAGCAGCAATGCGCTGGCTGTTGATCTCAGTGTTTGCAAGATGGTCCACCATCTCCAGCTTGCTCTGAAGAGAGGAAAATAAAGAGGGAAATGGTGAAGCTGCAAACATCTGCACCAGGGTGAGGCTGAGTAGCAAATGTGTGCACAGGCGAGACATTCCTAACGCAACCTGAGGTTACAAGTAATCTCTTTACCACTCCTCACTTTAGTTTGTTACCTTTTTAAATTAAATTTTCAAACTTTCTGACCCCACTTTGCAACAGCTGGGTCTGTACTGGGATAGTTCAGTTTGCAGCAATGGAAGCCCTTGAAGGCAGAGCCAGCTCTTCCGTTACAGCTGTGCTTTTTACCTGTATAACTGCGTTCCCATAGTAAAGGAAGCCAGTTGGTCTGAGCCCGCTCTTACGCCGGTGTAAGTACTTGCTCAGGAGCTACCATACTGTGACAGCTGAAGGGTACCAGGACCCCCCTTTCTGTCTCTCTTGGTACTGGCAGCCTGGAGTGCAGCTGCAGCAGGGAGCTGACTGATGCTGGGCTGGATGCAGGCTCAGGGAGGAGATCTGTGGTCTTGGGAGCAAGCCTGCTGTTTCTGACTGCACACCCGCTTTCTTGAGGATTAGTTACAGACACACGCACCCCACAATGCCATTTTCAGCCAGAGCTGAGGCAGGAATAAAACAGAGTGTGGTACTGCCTGTTCCTGCTGGTCCTGTGTGACAAAAAGGGGGGGAAAAAAAAAAAGAAA